AGGCTCCCCCATCCATGGGATTCTCCAGGGAAGAATACTGGAGTAGGCTGCCATTTCCTCCTCCAGGGCATCTTCCCACCCAGAGATGGAACCCGCGTCCCCTGCATCTCCTGCATTGGCTGGCAGACTCTTCCAAGAGTTCTATATAAAATCTTCCTTACATTATGGAATCTAGAGAAAAATTTTGATGAAGTTCTAACACCAAGTTGCTTTAAGAAGAAAATCAAGCTGTGCATCCTACTCCTAAGGACCGGTAACAGCCACTGAGTTGGAAGTAAGCATGGATGGATGTTACACGGTGAAACTGTCAAGTGTGCTATTCCTACAGAGCTTTCATACTTAAAGAGATACACAGTAAATTTAATTTCATTTTTCTACTGTTTCTGGGAATACATTTCAACATCTCTCATGTCTTAAAAATTAGCAAAAGGAAATGAAGTTATAAAATATTATTTTTGAATTCCTTTTAGATACTCTTTATTCACAAAGAACAGTTTAAAATTATTTTAATACATGAGAGGATTCATAAACTAAACTCTCAGATCTTCTCTAAAGTTCAAAACCTCTTTGGGGTATTCCTTCACCTCATGTTTCTTAAGGACAAAATTCCTATCTTTATAAATAGATCTGCCAAGTAAAAATCAGCACTTTAAACAGATTCAGAAAAATGAAACACTGGATTTTGAAAATCAACTTGTATTTATCTCTGGAGAAATTTCAGAGATATGATCCCTGTCAAGCAAAAAAATTTAGTGAAACCCCCACTCACTCCACAGAAGCTATTCCTTCCTCCTGGGAATGGAAAGGAAGCCACTGCACTGAAAAGTCAGTTAACGATAAGTCAGCTGGAAGGAGAAGAGGGTCTCGGAATGAGAGCAGACCCTCTAACACCCTTTTTCCATCCAAACTAAACTGATGCGCAGAAAAGTGCAATTAAGACAGGATCTTGGAAATAAAGACAATCCAAATGAAGATCCATTCACACAAACTTTACATCTAAATTCAACATCTAAATGTCACTTTTCTCTGCAGTGACAAATAGATTTCAAAACTAAGTCCTTTCCAACATAATCTGGAGACGAGAGAAAAGGTCAAAATGAAATAGTATCAGAATTACTTTTTACGAAAGACTCAGAATTACAAAGACTTAAAGGTTAATCCTTTGCTAGTCTGTAAAAATTCATACTTGATTTTTTCAATTTAATATTAAACACAGCTGATGACATTTTCAATTAAAAACATTAAATTCTGAAGTCCTTAACAGTTATAAAACTTACAAAATGTAGAATTAGGCATTTTAAAGGAAAATTAAGATTTGCAGGTAGTAATAACATAATTAACTAAAAAAATCTAAACCTAAAAAGACAACAGAACTTCAAACTGAGGAGCACATATTTTCTTCAGTAATAACATAATCAACAACAGACTTTAAAATGAGGAACACAAATAAAGGAGTAAATGAAGATAGCATATATTCATGTAATTTACATGTACACAATAATCTTATTAATCTCACTAATCATCCAGTAATAAATTTACTCAGGATGATTTTGATAATGCATCTTGTCCTCACTAAGCAAGAACGACTACAGCAAACACGATTTTAAGTTTTGGATTTTACACAGTATAACTAAGTTACACAACATAACTAAGTTAAGATTGTAAAAAGAGAAAACACCACCACTGATGGAACATAAATCAAATATCAACAGCTACAACAGTTTTTACGGGTGAATGCTTTTAAGCATGATAAATTATCATATTCATTTCATGAAGAAAAATATTGGTTCTTCCTCTGCATAGTAAATTTCTTAATGATGATGACATTTAAAAGAATTCTACTCTCTGAATTTAAATATTTCTGAGTACCCCACAAAACACCAAGGAACGGAGACATACGTGCTGCTAAGGAGCTGCTTAGCCAAGTGTTTTTCTTAAAATTTAATAATAAACTATAGAAAAGGGAAGCAATTAGCAAATGTGATTTAGCTATCATTAATCTTCATCAAAGGATTATAATGATGTACATTGTGTGCCTTTCAAATTATTCTCTATTATAGGTTTCACAACAGAAGTAGAGAAATCTCTTTGACAAACTAGTCCCTTATTAAAAATCAAAGGAAAATACTTTGCTACCATCTGTGCAACATTAACGCCTTCACTAAAGAATGATTATTTTGTAAGTTAAGAAGTATTCAGTTCTATTTAAAACAAGACAGCAGCAACACAGCTATTCAAATGCTCATCTTCATCTATTATAAAAAAGTCATAGCATATATGAAACACTAAGCAATTCGCTACAGAAAGACCAGCATCTCTCCCAAAACCTCTCCTAACAGCAAGGAAAATTGAGACCCATGAAAGCATAATCAAAGTGTTGCTGGTTTTTTTTTTAATGTCACCAACACCAACATATGCTTCACAATACCTGACCAGCACCTGCAATGTCTGATTTAATAAGATGGGGGGCAAGAGAAAATAAAAACTTTAAAGTTTAATGCCACTCATAGAAAGCAGATTATGTTTTAAAGAATAAGGTAAAATTACCCATAAATGGTTGTCAGAAAAATTTATGACAATCTCTTCTCTTTAAAGAACACTGAACCAAGAAAAATCTGTTCAAGTATTTAAAAGCTCATTTTAGAAAGTATTACTATAAATTAGGCTTCTTTGTCTCCAGTATACCATATACCATGTCCATGATTTGACAAGTTCTTCCTAATTACCCATTTTAATTACAGTAATTATATATTTTATAGTAAATGAAAGTAACAAGGTTCATTCAGAAGATAAATTGTAAATTACAGGTTTAAAAAAAATAGAGAAAGTGTGGTTCTGTCCAACCATTACACTTAATTAATCATATTCAACAGATTACCATTTAATAGAACCATATGATTTTGGAGCTAGAACTTAGGAATCACTTAATCTAATACCTTTATCTTGATATTATTTTCCAAGTTCCTCATTACAAAGAGGATGAACCATTATTTGTCACCAACTGTTAGCTCCCTTTACATAGTCATCTAGTTTGCCTTATAATATTTTGTTTTAGAGTACTTGCTAGATAAAAATATATGGCATAAACTATTAAGACACAAAGGGATATACCAAAAAAAACCACCTCGATTTCCTTCAAGACTAAACCTGTTTTGGGAGGCTAAACCTTGAGAGGACAAGGTGATAATGATGCAGCTTACAAGAAGTAGAAAATACTCTGTACCATGGAAATAACACATCCAGATAGAAATTTATATTCTAGATACATTTCATCTTCTGTAAATATAGCAAAAGAGATGTTACCATTATAAAATGGATTATTGAAACCAAAATGTAAGAATTTGTTTTAATAGATTTAATTAAGCTTAGTCTCTAGGATATGAATTAGTCTTAACTACCAATTTTTTTCTAACACATGTGAACAAAATACCCACACTTATAGCAAAAGTATTGTACTAAATGATAAAACAATAGGCAAGACACTGACAATATGACCACCGTGCATAACCTAGGCCCTCAGTTTCCTCACCCACAGAATAAAAATCCTACAACTCTGATCATAGGTTAGGTAAACAGTGAAATCTCAATTCATTTTAATATAACCAAAATGTTAAAGCCAGCACAGCTCAAGTCTGCTAATGACTAACGTAATCATCATTCATCATAATAAGGAAAACAAACACAAAATGGCCTTTGGAAAGTGAATCACTGTAATTCACTCCCCACGTTCTCTTAGATGAGAAAGACAGAATTTCAGAAGGCTTCAGGTTCCACACGAAAACTTGTTCTCTACTCAGCAATTTTCCTACCTCTCTTTTTTAATGATGAAATATTAAGGCATTTAATATTCCAAGGTCCATGAAATGTGAAAACCATACTGATAACTCAAACATCACTAATTAACAGTAAAATTCCTTGAGGAGCCCCCTGATTCCTCTTGGCACCTACATGGCACGCAGACCCCACTGAGCCAGAAGTAACTACAAGCAACCCACTGAAGGTTATTCCGCTCCCCGTTAGCACCATCAGAAGTGTCACAGTATTCCTTATGGGCTAACCTGTGTCTCTCCCAAAATTCACATTTTGAAGTCCTAATCCCATTACCTTAGAACATGACCTCATTTGGAAACAGGGTTATTGCACATATAATTAGTAAAGATGAGGAAGATGGGGCATTAATGCAATATGAACCATGATCAAACAAAAACGGAAATTTGACACAAACATGCATATATGGAGAATACCACATGACCGCCTTCTACAAATCAAAGAGAGAAGCCTGGCACTCATCTTTTCCTCGCAGACCTCAAAGTAACCAAACTAACCTACCCCTTGATTTCGAGCCTTCAGAACGATGAGACAGTAAATTTCTGTTGTTTAACCCACCCAGTCTGTGGGACTTTTTTACAGCAGTCCTAGCAAGCTAATATCTGACTAGACAGCAGCTGAAGAAGAATCATATCAGAACATCATTACAGCCACAAACAAAATTGCACCCAAATTTCAATGCCTGGCCAACATTACTAAAAGGCCACACATCTTTAAGAACCTGATGCAAGCCACTTTCACACAGACATGACATTTTTCGTATCGTACACTTAACTCAAGAGAATCACTAATCCCCACCCTCAACACTGCTAAAGATGTGTGGACTCTTGATTAAGAATTCCTGCCTAATCAATGGTATACGGATGGGGAGGGAGCAGATCATACACCCATCTTTTTAAAATATAAAGTAAAACACTATCAGTATTGTCTCTGATGAAGAAGGAAAAGAACACAGATGAACTAATAAAACTTTTCCTCATTATGCCTTTAAATAGGTTTATGCTATGTTTTAAAGTAAGTACTTTTAAAAATATGTGTATATAAAATTATATCTGAAAATAAGCAAAACTTTATCACCATAGCACATTTTATCATGAAAGAATAGAATCTAATACAATAATCAGAAAACTAGATAAAGAAAACTTTTCTTTGGTAAACTACGGTTCAAAGTCTTCTCAAAAATATGGACCTGGTCAGTAAGATTCAAAGTAGTTGTCTTATTTCTTTATTTTGCCCAAACAACTTCACCTTTAGTAGTTGACAATAACCTATCACATGGGAAAAGAAGATCATAAATTTAAAAAAATGGAAATTCTACCATTTTATATAAGCTTAATCAATCATTCATGGCATCCTACCAGTCAAGAAAAGGTTCTCCCATAAACACAAGCTAACATGGTATTATCTGGTCAATAAAAAACCAATTCCAATATCTGATTATGAAGATTCAGAATGCTTTACTTTCTTTCCACAGCTGATTAGCTCTCAGCAGAAAGCACAATGGGAAGATACATAGTTAATACACAGAGTCTAAGAACAATTTGAAAAACATTAACCTCTGTTTAAATAGAAAAGAAAATGAATATTAGGTTTTGCTCTTTCAAAATGTGCACATCTAATAAATCTGTAGGAAAGTGATACACAGAAGGTTGCATTCTGTCTTGTGAAATGATATTTAAGTGAGTTTTAAGGACAAAATCATCACTACTAGGGACAAAAATCACTACTCCATATATATTATACAGAAATTATTCTAACAGTAAAAAGCGTGCAGGAGGAGAAGGGGATGACGGAGGATGAGATGATTGGATGGCATCACTAATTCAATGGAAATGAGTCTGAGTAAACTCCAGGAGTTGGCGATGGACAGTGAGGCCTGGCGTGCTACAGTCCACGGGGTCGCAAAGACTCGGACACAACTAAGTGATTGAACTGAACTCAAAAAGCGGGTAGTGTAGGTGAGGAAAAGTCTCTGAACTGACAACCAAAACAAACAGGTTTTATTTCTCCTGCTCCTGGTACTAACTGTATGGGAGACTTCAGGCAAGATCATTTAACTTCTCTGGACCCTGGCTTCTCATCTATAAAATAAGCGAGTCAAACTTAATTATCTCTAAGGTGCCTGTCACCTCTTGATTCATAACACTATAAACCTTCAAATCTGAAATAAGTCATTCATATTTTATACATTTATAAAATCAATACGAACCTCAGTCATTTAAGAGAGACAGTGATATTTCCCTCTTACCTGAAAATCCAGTGCCATGCAGCAAATTCCGAAGTTTATTACAGAGCTGGATCATGCTGTCCAGCTGTCTGTTTATCTTCACATCTTGTATCCAGGCTGGGGTGTAACACACTGGACATCCACTTCCAATGCAGTCACTTACACAATTACTTAAAAAGGATTAAAAAATACATAGATATCAACACACATTCAGCAGGATCTAAATTCCAAAAAATAAAAAGCATAAACAGAAGTAAATGAAGAAAAGGCTGTTCTAATGAACATTGGTCAATCATAAAATATCAGTTAAAACAGTGTTTTTGAAAGAGTACATGACACTAACGCACACATCATGCAATCCACATCTAAAGTTGCTTATGTAACTTGCTACGAAGAGACTATACCTGGCCAGACAAGAGTCTGCACAATTTTTCCCTGTAAATAAATCTATAGCTTCTAAAGAGAGTACAGAGGGAGATTTAAAAAAAAAAAAAATTTAGTCCCTAATGCATACAAGTCATGCATATGAACCTTTCCTATTCTAAACCTAACACTGTGCTTCATAGATATTCCCAAAATTACTGCAAAGACAGAGGTAAAGGTATTTTTTCTTTTATTTGTGTTCAAGTGTCTTAAGGCTTTTAAAGTAGTTTTTGAGAAAAGATTTTGGTTCTTTCAAGTACTTTTAATCTGTAGACTCAGTTAAATGACCTCATATTATCTGTCCAAGAGTTACAATCTCATAGTTAGAAAGGCTTTTCTTAAATTTCTTGGTGGCTCAGATGGAAAGGAATCCGCCTGTAATGCGGGAAACCTGGGTTCGACCTCTGGGCTGGGAAGATGCCCTGGAGGAGGGCATGGCAACCCTCCAGTATTCTTGCCTGGAGAGTCCCCATGGCCAGAGGAGCCTGGCGGGCTACAGTCCATGGGGTGGCAAAGACTGAACAACTAAACACAGCACAGCACAACACCACCATCTGTGACTCCGATGAAGATGTGCACAAGCTTCTGTTCACAATTCCCCCTGAAACCTATCTGTGAATCCCGAAACAAGACCCTCTACACTTCATGGTGGAAGTTCCCTGGTGGCTGAGTGGTGAGGATTCCAGGCATTCACTGCCAGGGCGCAGCTTCAGTCCCTGGTTGGGGAACTGAGATTCTGCAAGCTATACAGCGCAGATGGAAAAAAAACAAAAAACAAAAAAATAAACTTTCTGCACCTTCTTTAGCTTCACCAGATGGGCTGCAGCAGGAAGGGGTAAAATAATAGCCGTAACAGCCACATCTCCTCCAAACACCACACCCCTTTTCCTGTGACCCTCTTGTCTGCAGGCAGAGGACTCCTCTCACAGGAGCCCCCTTCAGAATATTTAACCTGTCTTCTACTCAGCAAAACAAAGAAATTTGCAAAAACATAAAAGCAGTGCCACCCTGCCATTTTGTCTTTGGTTTGCCAAAGTTATTTTCCCTTTAAAAGAGTTCTTTAATATTACTATGCAATGTGTTTATTATCGTTATTTTTAAACAAATTAGTATTGTTTAAATGTCTCAGTTTTACATGGGAAAAACACACATCCATAAACAAAAGCTCTTTGGGGGGCTCAATTTTCAAGAATGCAAAGTGGTTTGAGCCCAAAATATCTGGGTCCCCCTGCCACATATCTTGAAAATTTACATCTGAGAGTTCACGAACTACTTTTATTAGGGACTGGCATGAAAGTATGATATTCTGAAGCTGCCAGAACCTGTCAGTAAGATAAAAACCTGTGTTCCCACCAATCTTCCCTTGACTCCAAGGCTTCAGCTGCACTGCGACATAGTAAAACCATCTTTTAAAACCGCACAGCGGTCGGAGAAGGCGAGGGTAGGATAACTTGAGAACAGCACTGAAACATGTATATTACCATATGTAAAATGGTTGACCAGTGCAAGTTCAACGCATGAAGCAGGGCACTCAAAACCGGTGCTTTGGGACAACCCAGAGGGATGGGGTGGGAGGGAGAAGGGAGCGGGGCTCAAGATCAGGGGACACATGAACACCCATGGCTGATTCATGTCCATGTGGCATAAACTACCACAATACTGTAATTAGCCTCCAATTAAAATAAATTAATTAATTAAATTTAAAAAAAACTGCATGGCAGGAGTTCCCTGGTGGCCTAGTGGTTAAGATTCCAGGCATTCACTGCCACGGCCCAGGTTCAATTCCTGGTTGGGGAACTGAGATGCCACAAGATGCACAGCACAGCACCCCAAAATGAAAACAAAACCTCACGGCATTTACAGCACTGGTCAACAACTTTAATATCTCCAAATCTCCAAGAAACACAAACAGCTACCCTAAGTCTTGGCACCATATAATGAAAATGAATCAGAACTACACTGAATCAGTTCTTTCTTCTGTTCACATATAGACAACCATCTTCTCTCTTAAGATGGTTCTCATGCCTCTCTTAATCTTTCATTGGTTGTTTTAAATCACAGATCCCTTCAGAATCCAATTAAAGGAATGGAACACAGACAAACAGATGCCTTACATACAGACCCCTTCAGAATCCAATTAAAGGTATGGAACACACACATATACACATGCTTTACATACAATTTCAAGTTTGTTATGCTCTAGATGTGTAACTGATCTATTACACACAGTGAGTACAACCCCGAAATGAAATACATCTGCTTATTCCAGAGTGGAGACAGGGAGCAGACAAATTTTAGATAGGCATTATTGGAGGCCTTTTGGAGGAGGTAATAGTTGAGCTGAAATGTAACTGATGAAAAGCTAGGCTCACAAAAATCTGGCAGACAGAATTTTAGACAGGCATTATGGGAGACGTTTGGAGGAGGTAATATTTGAGCTGAAACACAACTGATGAAAAGCTAGCCTCACAAACATCTGGCAGAAGTACAGCTCAGATGGAAAAATCAGTGGGTGCAAAAGTCCTGGGGCAGGGTGAGTTTGACATGTTCAACGACCCGAAAGGAGAAGGTGGCTGAACAGCGGGTCCGGGAGGCAGTCGGGGGCTCTGCCCCACGCAGAGTCTTACAAACAGATGCCTTACATACAGACCCCTTCAGAATCCAATTAAAGGTATGGAACACACACATATACACATGCTTTACATACAATTTCAAGTTTGTTATGCTCTAGATGTGTAACTGATCTATTACACACAGTGAGTACAACCCCGAAATGAAATACATCTGCTTATTCCAGAGTGGAGACAGGGAGCAGACAAATTTTAGATAGGCATTATTGGAGGCCTTTTGGAGGAGGTAATATTTGAGCTGAAATGTAACTGATGAAAAGCTAGGCTCACAAAAATCTGGCGGACAGAATTTTAGACAGGCATTATGGGAGACGTTTGGAGGAGGTAATATTTGAGCTGAAACACAACTGATGAAAAGCTAGCCTCACAAACATCTGGCAGAAGTACAGCTCAGATGGAAAAATCAGTGGGTGCAAAAGTCCTGGGGCAGGGTGAGTTTGACATGTTCAACGACCCGAAAGGAGAAGGTGGCTGAACAGCGGGTCCGGGAGGCAGTCGGGGGCTCTGCCCCACGCAGAGTCTTGTGGGCCCCAGCGCAGAGTGTTCTGATTGTAAAAGGAAACCCCTGAAGGGTCTTAGGAGTGGTGACGATATGAATGTGGCTCCGATTTTTAAAAGATCACTCACAAGAATGTAGAAAATGGAGAAGGGGACCGGCTCTGAACGCTTTACAATAGGCTGGGGAGAGATCATTTGCGGTGGCTTGGACAAAAGCATAAACAGGAAATAGAAAAGTGGGAAAACGAAAGACTTAGGGTACATTTCAGGTGAAATGGAGAACTTTATGATATGGGATAAGCAAGAAAAATAGCAGCCAGGGGTGCCTACTGGTTTCTGCTTTGAGCAACTTTGGTACCATTTATTCCAATGGCACCATTTACTGCTATGAAGATGACCAAGGCAGGAACAGGGTAAAGGCGAGGACAAGCAACAGATCTGCTCTGAACATACCAAGCCTGGCATCCCGCTTCGTCATCCAAATAGAGTTATCAGGTAGGCAAGAGATACTCTTTCCTACCCCATCCTCCTGCTGGATGTGCCCCATGGAGCAGACCTATGTTTCTATATAGAAACAAGATTCGGACCCTAAGCAGAGCCACCTCCCACAGCCCCCAGCCCACCCAAGTCACACAGTGCGTTACTTTCAGATGTGCTTACACTTCATATCGCAGTTTGCTCATGCCAGATAATCACAGTCATAACTTGAAATAATTAAAAGATTGATTCAAAGGAGGATATATTAACCCTGTCTCACAGACAATTAAACTAAGACATTCACTCCTTTAATTGATTTCCTCTTGAATAAGAAATAAGATGAGGTGAAAATCTAACATTCTAACCTCTCAGCCAGGGTTTTAGTAGCTATAATTTCATAGTAACTGTTATGGCTTGAATTGTGTCCCCCCACAAAAAGATGCTTAAGTCTTAAACCCCAGGACCTGTGACCTTATCTGGAAACAAGGTCTTTGTAACTGATCTAGTGTAGATGAGATTATTACAGTGAGCACCCTAAACCAATATAACTGGTATTCTTAGTCTTATAAAAAGTGGACATTTGGACACAAATAGTCTACTCTGGCCACTTGATGTGGACAGCCCACTCATTGGAAAAGACTCTGATGCTGGGAAGGGTTGAAGGTGGAAGGAGAAGAGGGCGACAGAAGATGAGATGGCTGGATGGCATCACCAATGTGATGGACATAAACTTGGGCAAACTCTGGGAAAAGGTGAGCGACAAGGAGGCCTAGCCTACTGCAGTCCATGAAATCGCAGAGTCGGACATGACTTGGTGACTCAACAACAACAAAAGGCACACAAGGGAGACTCCCATGGGAATTTGCAGGCTAAGAGCAGACTGATGTATCTCTAAAGGGAAATACTGCCAGAAACCAAAGATTCTGCACCAGAAGGTAGGATAGAGGCATGATACAGATAATCCCTCAGAAGTAGGCCAACCTCACTAACACCTCGCTATTAGACTTCTAGCCTCCACAACTGTGAGACAATAAATTTCTGTTGTTCTCAAAGTCACCTGGTTTTTGGTACCCTGTTACGGCAGCCTTCAGAAACTACTACAGTAAATGATAAGAACTTAGGTTTCACAATTTGCAGAGGCCTAGATTCAAAATTAACTGGAAGAGTAAGAGAGGCATATTTGAATTATATAGTAATTAATTTTCTCCCCCAAACTTTCTCCCCAAACTCCCCAAATAGTAAAGCTATTTTCTAAGCTTTGTACCAGTGGCTAAGTTACCCTCTTTGACCTTTTAGCTTCTGATTTGTAAATTAAGACAAATAAAAGGATCAAAAGGAGATAATGTACAGTAAGTCATTTTGCAGTCCATGAGAGTTATACAACAGAAAGTAATACTAGTATCAACATGATCATGTGACTATTACCTTGGTAAAAAAATACACTTACATTAAATGTGTATGTCTATCTATCATAAGCCATCATTACTTACCTACAGAAGATGTGCTCACATCCACCTAAGCACACAGGCTCCCTCAGAATATCAGTGCTGTTTGAAGAAAGAAAAATAATCAAGACTTAGGTCACTGTTAAACATTTTTTTACCCAACATTTCACAGGTCCAAGACCCAACACTACTGTACTTGTTTCTCAAAACATAAGATATTAAGGTCATATTCATTTGAAAGGCTGTAGCTCCCTGATTAAATACTGTATCATCACACATCTGCTGAATTCAAATAACAACTACTGAACTCAGGACAAACTGTAACACTTTTTATAATGCCTATGCTGTGAAATCATAGAAAGAAGCAACTTTGCTCAATATCTCTGAACCTCTTTCAAGTAAAACCAACCACTGGCCACTTCTTTCAATTCATGATTCAAAGTGTAGACCATAAATCTCAAAATGAGACCCACAAATAGAATGACTATACAGTGTACTGTCCAAATGAAAATACTTCTGAGAGTGAAGGGGAGTGATAACTGGATAGAATAGCAAGTGTAAACCAAGACTGTCATAGAAAAATAGGACATCTGGTCCCCTTGACCATAAAAATTTATGGTTTCCCATTAAAAAAAAAAATCGCTTTCCAATGGTTGTCAAGTAGCCATCTATTTTTTACAGATGTCTTTTCAGAAATGCAGCTATTCTTTCTACTTATAGGAAATTGTTTTATTCTTTAAAGCAACTGGGAATAGGAATCATCAGGTTGGCAGTCTGCAGAAAATTAAGTATCTCCAGCATTGTCCATCAAAAAACACCTGCTAAGTTTGATAATCCTAAGGTAAAGCTACTTAACTAATAAACAGAGACCAAATCATTAAAGTCAGAGGGCATAATGAAGTAAGAAAAAACAGAAGTAAAGCTTTTTAAAAAGGAACTTTTTCTAGTTTGTTATACTAACCCTAGGACCTTTAGGTATTTACATCATTATTATCCAATTATCTCTGCACACATCTCACGTATCAATAAAAATAGCTCTCTAAGTTTCTTGAAAGATCAAATGCATCACACTGCACATTTTAATAGATATGAACATTAAAGTGAAATTGAGCTTTCAGCAAGAGTGCTAAAAACAGAGCACACCCACAATGTTATTCTCAAGATATTGAAAATGGTGCTCACTGACATTATAAAACCCATCACTTTTTAAAAACTCAGAATATCTGGTTTCTCTATCACACTACACAGAACAAAGTGACGAAAATATGACTTGTGCCAGCAACTTCTGGCAATTCAGATGATCTCTGCTACAATGCTCATGCTAGTCCTATAATTTCTGTACATTATTCAAGCTACCAAACCTAACCTCTGATCTCCGAATAAGTGTGTTAAACTCTACTTCATTACAAGCTTTGCCTCTGAGATCTCAAAAGTGGTGTGACCAAAAGTCCTCTTATCATAATATCCCCCCTCCCTTTTATCCCGTCACCCTGACCAAACCTTCACATTCAGGTTGCTCTCCACCTGGAGAGACTTCCATTCACTATTAGCTGCTTGGATTCGCTACCAGCCCAGGCCACAGAGTTTTACATGCTTCAGCACCATCTTCACCATCACCCTAATTCTACCAACCTCTCAGAAACTCAAGAATGCCAATCCACAATGCTAAAGAGACCCCCCAGTCAGCTCCTTCCATGCCTGCACTCAGGCTCTGAATAACCATTATAAAAAGACAGAAATACATACAAACTTGTCTCTAAAACTCATCAGGTAGTTTCCTCACCGTTGTATCTCTACTAAAATGATGTAGTAGGTGTTCTGTGAGTAAACAAAAAGTGAATAGACTATTAAAGCAATGCCCAAGCTCTAAATCCCATTAATCTTACTGAAGCCAAACAGTGTGAGCTTTGTCCTACCAGATTTATTCCTACTTCCCCACCCTCCAGGTTCAGAGGGAAAGACCTCCTTCAGTCATTCTCCTTCTTAAAATGAGCTGCTCTATTAGTCCTTGGATCCCTTATCTTCCCTGCTTTCTAAAAGAGTCTATTCACATGACTATAGCCACCTTTCATCTTCTAGCTGCATCTAAACATGCAAAGTTAATCTCTCCTGCAACATAAAAAAATAAAACCCTTAAGACCCTGCCCCCAACTCTCCCTTCCACTCTAGCTCTTCCCTTTCTTGTATGTTTAAGATCTTAAGTAAGCAATCTCACCAGCAAATCCAGGAGTCCACAACGCTTTATAGCACCAGGGGCTAGTGTCGTGGAGGGCAATTTTTCCGTGCACTAGTGGGGGAGTGGGTGGGGTTTGGGGATGATTCAAGAGCATTACGTTTATTGTGCATTTTATTTCTATTGTTATTACATCAGCTCCATCTCTGATTATCAGGCGTTAGATCCTGGAGGTTGGGGACCACTAAGCTAATCTGCCTTTTCTTCCTAGCTTTAACTCCCATCCGTCTGTTCACACTGCTCACCAAAACATGTTTTGGTCCTCATTCTCCCGGACATCCCTGTGAAATAACATCAACCTCACCTTCTTTCCTGAAACCTTCCCTGAGTTTTAATTTTCTTAATTTGCTGAGTTCAATAATTCCTTAGTTGTTTCTTTTCCTATTTCTCAATGGGGTGTACCCTCAGGATGCAGCCCAGAGCCTTCTGGCTTTCTCTGCCAATACTTGACTCAATGACTTGATTCTATTTATAAACATAAATTTCCTTCCTAAAATGAATTTCTTGATCTACAATTCTTACCCTTCACCCCAGCAACAAGATACTACAGTGCAATTAGAAATGAATCCAGTACTATAAATAACTGGTCAACTATAGTAATTATTTTAATTAATGACCTTGAAAATATTTTTTATTGCTGTTAAATGAGAAAAGACAGTGGGAGAATAAATGAAAAGTGCATGCATGTATGAGTTAGGGGAACGAGCAGGGAGAGGAGTGTTACAGCCAAAACTGGGAGTAGTTCAAAAGAATTCTAATGGAAGAGCTCAAAGAAAAGATTCACTACACAGAAGGTGACACCAATTTCTGTCAAAAGTGAGACTTCCTCAAATGTCTAGAGCTCCGCTGAGAAGACTCTCTGGAATAAAAGAATTTTTATTACAACCAGACAATACCTATCAAAATTTTAAATGTGCCAAACTTTAACTCAACTATTCTACTGCCAGCAAGTTAGTTTTCAGATAATCTCAGAAGCTTGCAAAACTGAAACTTCAAAATAGTAAAGATATCTATCTAAACAAGATACCAAAAGCTTCCAGAGACTAAGATAAAGCGTTAGATATATATACATACACATTTTTTTAAAGAATTCAGAATAGCACAAGTCATCTCAAAGGAGACAAGGGACATTAGGTCTTCACAGTAATGACTAAAAATTATTTTGTACTTTGAATACGATATCCAGTCATCTTCCACTGTAGAAAGTTGATCACTGGTAATCAGAAAAGTCATCTTTCAGAGTAGGAAGTTAGGAAATAAACAAATAATGTCCAAAATGGAAAAAAAATCTAGAACTAGCAACAGAAACGCATTTGGTCATGAAAGAGGCTGTACCTGGAGTATAGAACTCAAAGGTGATACGAATGAGGCAAAAGAATATTTCATTACAGTAGTACAGTCATTGATTTTGTCAACTGTGTTCAGGCATAATTTCAATTTAAAAATTTTAAATGTAAAGACACATGGACAAGGACATTCACTCTAGGCTAAGTCTTGTGTTTATATAGCACAAGACTGGAAACTAAATTTCCACCAAGGAAATGGTTAAATAAATCATGATACATCTACCTGATGGTTGGTATCCTCTCATCTGAGGTACAAAGTGCTTATACAAATGGAGAACCACTTAAGGGACACACAAGTAATTGACTGCAGTGGGTTCTTGAAGAAGGTTCAGACTTACTTGTCATTCATTTAACAAATGTTGAATGACTGTATACTGTGTTATTTTAATTCTTTGGCATATACATGTATTACTTTCAGGTTTTAAAACCCAGTTTTAAACAATTCTTCACAATTTGATTACTCCAAAGCAAAAACTGCTCTTATCACACCCGTCCGTGTCTGTTAACATTTCTCAAACACCTTAAGTCCAGTGCCAAGCCGAGGACTGCTCAGACTGTCCCCAGTCTAGAATGTATCAACAGTTCCTCCTCTTCCAACACTACTCAAGCCCAACACATTTTCCAAATACTCTCCAGGATGACAGAATAAAAGTGACACTAAACAAAGAAGCATAGAAACACTTTGAATTTTGTTTCCATATCATTCACTTCTGCAGAACCTGTACCCCACAGCAGACACACACAGGACAAGTGTCTGCTGTGGGGTACAGGTTCTGCAGAAGTGAATGATATGGAAACAAAATTCAAAGTGTTTCTATGTTTGGTAGTTTTATAAGCCAGGTTAACATGTGACTTAAGACCAAAATGTTCTAAAGTTCCACACATGGCATCAAGCAGGGCTCTGGAAACCAATGTTGAAAACTAAGTATTTTGTATTTTATCTTCCTGATTCCTTTTTTTTTTAAGTCTCCAAATAGATCGTAGTCCTATGGACAAGAAATCTTGACTTTCATTTTTTTTGAGCTCCCCAACACACATTACCTACCTAGCATGGTGCTATGTGATTTCAATAAATCCTTAGGGAATGAATCAAGCAGAAGACTACATACAAAAATGCATTTATATTAGCAATTCTATGTTATCTGCACCCTGTATTTTGTGGGATATACCGGGGGAAAAAATCCACAGGAAAAAAGCACAAGACTGGAAACTAAATTTCCACCAAGGAAATGGTTAAATAAATCATGATACATCTACCTGATGGTTGGTATCCTCTCATCTGAGGTACAAAGTGCTTATACAAATGGAGAACCACTTAAGGGACACACAAGTAATTGATTGCAGTGGGTTCTTGAAGAAGGTTCAGACTTACTTGTCATTCATTTAACAAATGTTGAATGACTGTATACTGTGTTATTTTAATTCTTTGGCATATACATGTATTACTTTCAGGTTTTAAAACCCAGTTTTAAACAATTCTTCACAATTTGATTACTCCAAAGCAAAAACTGCTCTTATCACAC